TCTGTCCAGACTGACTGTGTGCGCGTGCAGACTGTGACGGTGTCTGTCCAGACTGTGTGCGCGTGCAGACTGTGACGGTGTTACACTGACTTGGTATGTGTGCAGACTGATGGTGTCACACTGACTCGGTGTCTGTGCAGACTGACTGTGTGCGCGTGCAGACTGTGACGGTGTTGCACTGACTCGGTGCGCGTGCAGACTGTGACGGTGTTGCACTGACTTTTTGTGTGTGTGCAGACTGTGATGGTCTTCTACTGTTTGTGTGCTTCACTGTATCAATGCATGTGTGTTTTAGTGTATGCCTGTATGCATGTCTAACAGAACAGTGAGCTCTGTAACTCACCCCTCGCAGGAGTACGCCTGCCTGATCTGCTTCATGCTCCTCTGTCTCAGGGTAATTATGTCCTGCCCAATGACGAGCTCCTCGTGTCCCAGAAGCCAGAGTACGACGTCATCCTGTGCCTCAGCATGACCAAGTGGGTGCACCTGAACTGGGGTGACGCCGGCCTGCAGCGCCTCTTCAAGCGCGTCTACCGCCACCTGCAGCCAGGGGGCATCTTCATCCTGGAGCCCCAGCCCTGGGCCTCGTATGGCAAGAGGAAGAAACTAACGGTGAGGGGGGAGAGGGAGGTCTCCAGATTCCCCTTTTGTCCCTCCGGCCAGTGTAATATGTGCCATGGTGTACTTTCTTGTGTGGCTCTGTCACTAATTAGCTTTTCTCTCTGCTTGTTCTTCTTCTCTATCCTCTCTGTTTTCTCTTCCTCCATTTCTCCCCTCCTTCCACCCTCGCTTTCTCCTCCTCTCTCCTCTCTCTCTGCCTTTCTCCTTTCTCCGCTCTCCTCTGTCCCCTTTCTTCCCCTCTCTGCACTCTCTCCCTCTCTCCGGTGCAGGAGACCATCTATAAGAACTACTACAGCATCCGTTTCAAGCCTGACCAGTTCAGCTCCTACCTGACCGGGCCGGAGGTGGGCTTCTCCAGCTACGAGCTGATCGGGACGCCCAAGAGCTCCTCGAAAGGTGTGGTGCACCGGTCCGTCTCCCTTCCTGACCCGCCCCTCCCTCGCTGCCCCCCGTGTCCGCCCGCGGCTGACCTCTGGGTGTCGCCTCGGTTGCAGGGTTCCAGCGGCCGATCTACCTGTTCCACAAAGGGCCCTCGTCTGCGCGGAAGTAGCCCACGAGCCCGTGAGCCGGACAGCGGAGCTCGGCGGAGGAGGACGCGGAGAGACGCCAACTCGGCCCCCCGACACCCGACGCAAACCAGCACATGACTTTTCCGCGGGTGGGGGGGGGGGGTCAGCTGGGCGGGCGTCCGGATTAGCTGGACAAGATGCCCACAGAGCGACACCGGGGACCGAGACGATGACACGCCTCATTTTCGACGCAGAGGTGTTCAAACTCCATTTGCGTGCTTTGACAACCCCTTGTTGATTTTTTTTTTTTGCGTTTGATTTTTTTTTCCCCACAATGGAACTGTTAATAAAAGAAGTAAAACCGCCGGCGCTCCTGGGTTTGGAATGCAGGGCAGCTCTCCCTACGGCTTTGTCTTTTTACCAGTTCCAGATGATCTCCGGCTCGGACCCCCTGACTTCAAGGAAGGAGCATCTCTGTAGTGCTGGGGAGAGTCGCCCCCGGTCTGCTGCAGCTTGTTGTGGGGTCAGGGGTCAGGGGTGAGGACAGCCCATGTGGGGCCCGGTGAAGGGACATATGGCTGGGCTTGCGCTGACATTGGGGGCGCCTGCAGGGCCAGCCCGAACCCCCTGGCTGCCAGAGGCTGGAGCCCTGCGCCTTCTCGGCCTCGAGGGCTCTTTCGGGAAAGGGCGATCCGTCTCCGGGAAGGCTGGTGCGCGACCTTTGCCCCGTCTTCCTGACTGTTCACCTGGAGGTTTGACGCTTGTTCAACATGGATTGTATTCAGCTGTTCTTGCTTTTTGCAGAGGATTCTCTGCCTGGGCTGTCAGCCTTAAAGATGGGGGGGGCAATAAAGAAATATGTCTTTCAGATACAGAAAGGGGTGTTGTTTGAGCCACTGGGGGTACCTAGTCATCCTGCCTTCTGGAATTCGTAAAGGAAAGGGCTCATGAGCCAGCTGTGCCTACTGGTTCTCCAAGCAGGCAGTGTGCCGGAGAGCTCACATGACTACTAGGTTACAGGACAGCAGAGCGCTATACTTTTTCTTGCACACAGGACAGCAGAGCGCTATACTTTTTCTTGCACACAGGACAGCAGAGCTCACATGACGTCCACTGTACAGGACCGCAGAACTTGCGCTTTTAGTGCACAGGATGGCCAAGCTCACGTGACTACTGGGATACATATCAGAAGAGCTTTCACTACCTCTAGTGCACAGGACACAAGCTCCTGTGACCTCTAGCACACAGGACAGCAGAGCTCATGTTTCCTCTAGTGCACAGGACAGCAGACCTCATGTGACCTCTAGCGCACAGAACAGCAGGCCTCATGTGACCTCTAGCACACAGAACAGCAGAGCTCACGCTTCTAGTGCATAGGACAGCAGAGCTCATGCTTCCTATAGTGCACAGGACAGCAGAGCTCATGTGACCTCTAGCGCACAGAACAGCAGGCCTCATGTGACCTCTAGCACACAGAACAGCAGAGCTCACGCTTCTAGTGCATAGGACAGCAGAGCTCATGCTTCCTATAGTGCACAGGACAGCAGAGCTCATGTGACCTCTAGTGCACAGGACAGCAGAGCTCATGACTACTGGGATACATATCGGCAGAGTTCACACAACCTCTAATGCACAGGAAACAGCAGAGCTCACGCTTCTAGTGCATAGGACAGCAGAGCTCATGAGACCTAGCGCGCAGGACAGCAGAGCTCACGTGACCTCTAGCGCGCAGGACAGCAGAGCTCATGTGACGTCTAGCACGCAGGACAGCAGAGCTCACGTGACCTCTAGCGCGCAGGACAGCAGAGCTCATGCGACCTCTAGCATACAGGACAGCAGAGCTCATGAGACCTAGCATACAGGACAGCAGCGCTCATGTGACCTCTAGCACACAGGACAGCAAAGCTCACATGACCTCTAGCGTACAGGACAGCAGGGCTCACAGATGCAAAACAGTAAAGGTCATATGAGCCCCCCAAGCTTGAATTTGGCAGAGCGCCCACTGGGCTGGGGTGAGTTAGCCCGTGCTTTCCCGAATTTTGGCAAAATATTCCCCCTGCTCCTCCATTGCCTCGTCATCATCAGCTGTGGGCCTTGAGCGGTTTGTATTTTTCATCTGTATGATACCCGTTGATCTCTACAGAGAAGCTGGAGAGTGTTGTCATTGCCAGCGTTCTCCTGGGTTCCAGCTCGGGCCTCCTGTCTTGCAGAGAGCCGGGACGTGCACCCAGGCCAGGCCGTGATGACTGCGGCCAGCCCCTGGTCTCGAGAGCGCGGGGTAGAACTTTTCAGTGCCGCAGCTCCAGTTGTGGAGCGGTCGATCTATAGGGAGATCAGAGAGACAGAAATATGACACGAGGTATTGAACCCTGTTGCCCCGTGGCCAGAGAGACTGTAAGAGATCAGATTGTCTTCTTATCTTTCTTTGTTGTTGTTTTTTTTTTTAACAATGATTGCCATTAAAGTTTGAGTGGCCACCCTCCGAAGGAAGTTGTATTTTATCATCCTCTCCCACAGGTCTGTAAGCACTTGCCACCTGGTGCAGGCAGGGGTTGTGGAAGGTCAAGCCAGGTCACCTATCCAGCTGTGACTTACCTGTGTGCTAGCGCAAACGCTGAGATCAGTCAGGCTGGGGCTGTGTTTCAGTGATTCACAGCTCCCAGCCCCGCGCACATCTGAGCATGCACACACCAAGAACCAGCGGCACGAGTGTCACGTGAATTCCAGCAGATTTATATTTTATATGTTGTTTATATAGTTTCCTCGGATGTACAGGCACAAGATCAGCTCTTTTGCTTAAGGATGTATACACTGTGTGGTGCACCAATAATAATAATTTCTTACACGTAAAGTGCTTTTCTGGACAGTCCACTCAAAGCGCTTTACAGGTAATGGGAACTCCCCTCCACCACCACAAGTGTGCAGCCCCACCAGGATGATGCAACAGCAGCCATAGTGCACCAGTACACTCACCACACATCAGCTAATAGTGGGGAGGAGAACAGAGTGATGAAGACAGTTCATGGATGAGGATTATTAGGAGGCCATGATTGGTAATGGCCAGGACACCACAGTAACACCCCTACTCTTCTTGAGAAATGCCCTGGGATTTTTAACAATAACAGAGAGGATCTCAGTTTTACGTCTCATCCAAAGGACGGGGCTCTTTTACAGTACAGTGTCCCCATCACAATACTGAGGCATTAGGACCCACACAGACCGCAGGGTGGGCACCCCCTCCTGGCCCCACTAACACCTCTTCCAGCAGCAGCCGTAGTTTTTCCCAGGAGTCTCCCATCCAGGTACTGACCAGGCTCACACCTGCTGAGCTCCAGTGGGATTGCCAGCTGTGAGTTGCAGGGTGAAATGGCTGCTGGCGCTAACTGGGGCCAAAGTAGAAGCCAACAAACAAATATATCCCAGAGATCCCCAAGTCCCTGAAAATGCCAGCACCCATGGAGGTCACTGTGTAAGAGGGGCACCGACCAGAGAAGGGGGAGGGTGGAGCCTGAGCCCACCTGTCCAAGTGCACAGGAGGCAACTTAGTGCTGGGGAGGCTGTCGAGCACATCGCTCATGACTTGAATCCAGCCTCATCTTTCTCACTGAGGTCCAAAGTTACCAGCCCCGACCAGAGCCAGCCCTGTCTGTACTGCAGGGCCCGACCTGCACTCACAACCACCACTGCCTGGTCCACAACGCGCCAGCCAACAGCAGGACAGGACGTTGACTCAGTTTCCGACCCGGTGGTCTCCAGAACCTGACAGCTGGCTTGCAGAAGAGGAATTGGGCAGTGATTTCCCATGCTGGAAAATGTATGAAACTATAAAACATTCAAACTGTGAGCACTGGAAAAACCACCATGCAGAAACACACGGTACAGCATGTTTGTATTTACGGTTTTTACTCGAACATCCTTGAAAATGTTTCATATATTCATCCAGCCAGAAACACCGACAGAAAAGGAGGGCAGAGGAAGGGCTTGGGAGTCTTTTGGGCACAAGGGGGTGTCGGGACGTCTTTAGTGTCCACTGTCCTCAGTGTCAGTCTGTCTGTCATCTCCTTTCCCTTCCACAGCAGCCAGAGCAGAGGAGAGGGAGGCCAGCCTACTCTGGAATGTGGCCCACACCTGGGAGAGAGAGAGAGGGAGTGAAACACAGACCT